ACCCCAAAAAAAAAAAAAAAAAAAAAAAAAAAAAAAAAGCAGGGGAAACTTGTAGTTAGGAGGTGACTTGGGTCTGGTTCCCTAGAAGCATAGCCTGACATGGGGATTCTTGTCTTTAAGTCATGAATCAAGAGAGTGCCCTGAGAAACCTGTGAAGAAGTGAGGAAAGCAAGGTGGAATGAGGACAGCAAGCAAAGATGTGGTTTTAGCTGCAGGCTGATCTGGAGCTTGAGTGACAGTTGCCAGGCTGTGTCATGTGAATCAGGGATGTCAGGCTTTTCACTCCTGGGTTGGCAGTGTTTGGCTGTGGGTTGACACTCCCTGCTAGGATGGGAGTCAGGGGCAGGGAAACCTCTCAGGCTTTTCTGCCCCGAGGCAGCTCCCTCCGGCCCAGGCACTTCCCCAGAGAGGGATGCATCCGTGAGCCATTGGCAGCCAACTTTCATGTAGCCAGGAGATGGGTGGGCCCCCCAGAAAACTCCCCCTCCAAAGAGTTCATTGCAGGGGCTGAGGAGGGGCAGTGAGTGGCCCAGTAGCGTTTGTGACCAGATTGTTTTATGACTGTTTCAGACTGCATGTCAGGTCCATGTCCTTTTGGAGAGGTTCATCTTCAGCCCTCAACGTCAGTGTTGCCCACCCTCAACAGAACCTTCATCTGGGATGTCAAAGCTAACAAGAACATCGGTCTAGAACTGCAGTTCTCCCTCCCTCGCCTGAGGCAGATCGGGCAGGGGGAGAGCTGCCTCGACGGAGTCACTCACAGCATCAGCAGCCGCGTTGACACCAAGATGGTCAGGATCGGAACCTTCTGCAGCAACGGCACTGTGTCCCGGATCAAAATGCAAGAGGGAGTGAAAATGGCCTTGGCCCTCCCGTGGTTCCACAACAGAAAAGTCTCCGGCTTCAGCATCACAAACCAGTTGTCTATAAAACGTGAGCTCGCCATGCCCTCCCCTCTGTTTGCTGAGGTTGAAACCTACAAAATCACCCTTGCTCTCCATCAGAAATGGTCAGGTGTTGGCAATTGTGTGATTCCATCTGAATACCTTAAAGGAAGTCCCACTCTTCTGTAAGCATGTGGGCCAGTCCTGGTGTGAACCCACCCTCCTCTGTTAAACAAACCAGGTGGTGACTCTTTCTTTTGTCCTTTGTATGTGAGGCTTGTTTTCAAGAAATGAAATGGGACTGGCTCTACAGACCTCAGTGACTGTTTCTCATGTCTTCTTCCCGTCTTCTGTCTCTTTCAGTTTCTAGAATTGTATCGGTATGCCAGATACAATTGTATCTGTATGCCAGAGCTGGCCCACAGCAGCACATGAGTGCCAATTGTTAAGTGTCCTGGAATTTTGTGAGCTGGTATTAAACAGCCATTACTAAAAATAAAATTATATAAACTTACAATTAAATAAATTAGTTTAGGAACAAAGGTAATAAGTACTCAAAACTCATTACTTCCTAGTTAATATACTGCATTTTACTATGTATGCTTTGAAGTTAGGTATGCCCATTGGATCTGTGTGGTGAAAATTCTATGTGATGGTGAGAGGGCTGTCCATCTCCTTCCAACTCCACGTTCATCCATCTCCTGTTGGTTGCCTGAAATCAGCTATAGTGGGAGTCTTTACACCAAGGAAGTGGGCAGACACTACAAATTAAGGCTTTATTTTTTTTCCCCTGCTGGGTTGATTATTAAACATATACTCACACACCACTGATGTATCCTCATTCTCACTGTCTACCTTGAATTGAGTATAAACATGCCATATCCAGACCCAGTGCTCAGGACCTAAGACCCACTTTCACCTCTTCTCTAACCCCTGTCCCCCCACCCATGGATGACCAGGGCAGGGTCTAATCACCTCCTATTCTCTCGTTTGGGTTCCACCCCCAACAGGCCTGTGCATCATCGAATCTGTGTTTGAAGGTGAAGGCTCAGCCACCCTGATGTCTGCCAACTACCCGGACGGCTTCCCCGAGGACGAGCTCATGACATGGCAGTTCATCATCCCTGCGCACCTGCGGGCAAGCGTCTCCTTCCTCCACTTCAGTGTCTCCAACTGCGTGAAGAAGGAGGAGCGCGTTGAGTACTGCATCCCAGGCTCCACCACCAACCCCGAGGTGTTCAAGCTGAAGGACAAGCAGCCTGGGAACATAGCCGGGAACTTCAACCTCTCTCTGCAGGGCTGTGACCAAGATGCCCAAAATCCAGGCATCCTCCGGCTGCAGTTTCAAGTATTGGTCCAACATCCACAAAATGAAAGCAGTAAGTAAGCCCCACTTTCCTTTCCCTCCCCCTCCTCCAGTGCCTTCTTTCCTTCCTGGGTAGTCTGCTTGGGCTGAGGTTCCCTTCCTACTTCTTGTCTGTGACTCTGGCACACTTGGACTCTGGACCCTGTAAGACTTTCAGGAAGTGCGTTGCTAGGCAGTGAGACCAGGTCACTGGTGAATGCCGGGCATACTGTTCCACTTCAGCACAGTAGGAAGCTAAGATGATCTTGCATTCAGGGTGATAAGTTGTTTTTAATGAAGACATTGGCAGGTTACCTTCTAGAGCTCATGTCTTGACTGACCCTACAGTGTGGATCAGGATGTCACCAGCACCGTGAGCAGTGATGGTAACACTTTTATTGTCTGAGTGCCAAGCCCTACCCTAAGCACACCACTCACATGGTCTCAGCTAATCCTTATTACAGCCTTGCAGGGGAGACAGGAATTACCTTCATTTATTGATGAGAAACCAGAAGTTTCAGAAAGGTTATGGAACTAGCCCAGTATCACACAGCTTGCCAGGAGCAGAGCAATCTCAGAACCCAGAGCCTGTGCTTCTGGACCACGCACAACCCCAGGTTCTGTGAGAATGAGGTTGTGTATCATTCCACACACATTTACTGAGATGCCGTGAACCTAGAGAAGGGTCATCAGGGCCAGGACTACAGCGAGGCTGTATGCCCAGGGCACAACACTGAAGGAGGCACCCGCTCTGAGGAGCTCCCTCTCACAGAGGCTCTCACCCTCAGGGTTGTGTCAATTCAAGGTCAGTCCCCGAGAGTGAGCATCTCCTTAAAACTTGCTCTCTGGGTGCCCTTGCCTCACGAGAGGAGTGGCATGGATCCTGAGAAAAAGGTACAGGATGAGTTCAGAGTGGCTATTCCTGGGGCTCATCTGTGAGCTGGAGTCTGTGAGTTGTGACAGGTGGTCTTGAACCAGGACATCTGTGATGTGTGCTGACGATGGGTTCTGCCCACAGGGTCGATTCTCATCCTTGTTTTTAATATTATTTACTTCCGGGAAGTAGACAGAACCAGGCAGAGAAATTGAGAATGTGAAATGGCATGGCTGACAAACACCTGAAAAGTGACCACGTGGGATCCACTCCCAGGGTTGCCCATCTGACACCGTCTTGGGAGTGCCCGCTCGGCACCCACCTGGAGCCCGGCTCCTCAGGAAGCCTCAGTTCCTTCATATCCTGACCCAAGATTCCTGCTAATTCACAATAACCGTGTACAAGGCATAACTTGATATATACATGTGTGTATGTGCATGTGTGTCCACTGACACATTTTGATGACTCTATGTCACAATTTTATCAGAATGTTGAAAATAGCCATGAAAGGATTCAGAAATGGAGTGGGTTTGAGTTTTAGAAGACGCAGGGATTTGTTTATCATCTCAGTCACGGTGAAGTGCTGCTGTTTAATCCTGTTTCCTGTAACATCAGCTGGGTTGATTTCTAAATATAATCAAATTGTTAAACATGCTATTACCGGCATCAAGAAGGATATGGCTTCAGTTTTGAGGTAAATAGTGGTTAACTGCACTTTACATGTGTTTAGCACTGTCAAGGCTTTACATCAAGCATGGTTTGCATTTTTCTAGGCAAGTGAGTCAACTTGGCCAGCAGAAGTATCTTTACTTAGGCGATGCTGGAGTCCCTGAGAGCTCTGATTTCTGGACATCTCCGTCTTGATCCTCTGAATCCCAACGTGGACCCTGAGTTTCAAGAGATTGTCCAAGGCTGCCAGCCCTGTGCACTCACACGTTTGTCTGCTTCTGTAAATATGTGTGCACAGCTTGTTTTGCAGGCAGCATGGCCCAGTGGTTAAAGGCACTTACTCTGGAATTGGCCTGCGTGGATTCGAAATCCTGATTCCCCTACTTACTGTGTGAGCCTCGGCAAGTCACTTAACTCTTGTGTGACTCAGTTTATCTTCAAATAGAGATAATAGGACTGTCCTCGTAGGGGTGTTGTGAGGAGCAGTGAGGTGGCAGTGCCTGGCAGATAGTGAGCACTCTTTAAATGTTATCCTGCAAGGCTCTAGGTCAAGGAAGGGATACAGAGTTGAAAAAGACACAGCACTGGTCCTTAGAAGTTAGCCCGTAATCCAGATGAGACTTATAGGATGCAGGAGATCACTTCCCAGAAGGAGTTTCTTCTTTTTATTTTCTTTTCATATCTTGTTGATTTTATTTTAATAATTGCAATCTGTGTACCCTATTGGTGTAACATTTGGTCTCTACGTGGGTGGCCATTTCTCCACGGGCTCCTCTGGGGCTGCAGTGGATAGTTGTAGGTGCCCAGGACTCTATATGCTGTGCATCACTGGGATGGACGGAGTTCTCCAGGGTGGGGTCTCGGTTCTGCGTCAGCCGATTCTGTCTGTTATTTTCATCCACTGTCTTCATCAGCTGGTGGTAACAAATGCTGTTGGTCTGGTTTCTCTCTTGTCCTTTCTTGCACAGATGATGGATGTTTCAGAGGAAATTTTGGTGGGCATCTCTACCCACTTGGCTCTCTTCCACACCTTGACACTGTCTCTGCACTTGTATTGGCAGGGGTCGTCCCCTCCGTCCTTTCCTGAGTGCTTGTGGTTGGCTGTTCCCTGCTTGTGGTTGGTTGTTCTGTGCCTGTAGTTGGTCGTTCCCCAACTGTGGTTGGTTGTTCTGTGCTAGGGGTGGTGGTTCCACGCTTGTGTTTGTTTTGTACTTATGGTTGGTTGGTCCATATCTGTGTTAAGCTCCTGTGGTTTGCCAGCATGAAGCCTCCCAGTGGTCTGCGCCAGGGTTCCTGATCTCCCTACATATACCTTCTCCTAGGCAATGAGGAGCCGCAGTCTTCAGCTTTGTTTGGTCATCAAGTCACTGCTCCAGCCAATGGTAGCCCTGGGATGGCTTAGTCATCCCATCCTCTCACCACCCACCTCCTAACATCCTGGGGGGTGGTGAGAGGAGGGAGGGGGATGCACAAGGAAATTTCTGGGTGATGAATATATTCACTATCTTGATTATGTTGATGTATATACAGGTGTGTATATAGGTTCAAAACTAGGCAAATTTACACCTTAGATATGTACAGATTATTGTAATTCAATTATTGCTCAGTAGAGCTGCTTAAAAATTATGTTCTCTGTAAGAAAACAAACAATTTCGGAAAGAAAAGAACAATTTTTGGTGAGGGAGAGTAGTTTATTACTGACATTGTTTAGAAATCCTAGAGCATAGTGACAATAAAAACAAGCCTGGATTTACTCAGATTTATTATTGTTTTAAAATTCTCTGTTCCCCTTTATTCTCTCACAGGGAATGAAATATCCCCACTGCCCTGACCTGGATAGGCCACTGCATGACTCCAAGTCACTTAGCAAGAAGGTGTCCTAATCTATGTGGGATTTGTGGCCTCCAAACACTGTTATGGAGGCTGGGGTTGGTGATTTTCTGTACGGCGAGTTTTTGTCCCTTCTGAGGGTCTTTAGTTGTTTACAGCATAAGGTAGGTTACAACACACACCACTAAGAGGTAGATGGCTGGAAGCAATTCATTTGTGTGCCCTTTTGGTGGGTGCCCTGCCACCCCATACACATCATGCCTCTCCTCTGGGCCCCCTCTCCCCGGACCCAGCGGTAGTGCTGAGCCCTTTTTCCTCCTTGCACAGGAGATAAAGTGTTAAGGGGGAATTTGTCTCAGGTGCTCACTGCTCACCCAGTCCTTATTCCCAATGTCTGGCTGACTTTGGACATTGAAGGACCCAGTCTGGTCCTCCACCTCAAAGGACCCCACCTCCATTCCTTGTCACACACCTGCCTCTTCCTTTCTTTCCTCCCCATCAGCAGAGAACTTGCAGAGACACACACTCATCCCCTGGATGAAGGAGCCTTTCACAAACTGTCAATTTTGTTTTAACCCTCCCTGTTAAAGATTCAGTCTCTGTGGTTGGCTAGCTGGGCCATTGGAGACCAGCAGATAGTTCTGGAGTCTCTGGCTTTGCTCTGCAGTTACTGTCTGTACCAGTCGTTACTTGGAGTGGTGGATTTCTCTTGGGTCTCTTGGTCCTGCTCTGGCTGATTTTGATTCATTTTCTTATTCAGACTGTGGCAAGAGACTAATATTTTTGGAGTCTTACTCTCGGATTCTCTCAAACCCCCTTGAAAGGGTCTTTTTACCTTCATGGCTTTCTTTTGCACCTGAAAAGGCAACAGGGTGAGCCCAGAGTGGCTTTGGTTTGGGGGAGGAGGATGGTGACTGAGTGGGAACGGAGGCTTCATGAGAAGGGGTGTGCATTGAGAAGGGGATTTGTACCCAGCAAGGACAAGTTCAGAGTCTTAGCGGGGGAGTCTTTAGGAAAAAGCAGAGCATGAAGAAGGCATTCTGACATTGCCACTGTCTCTGAACTTGGGTTGACAGGGGCTCTTCTTTCATTCCTTTCTTTGGTGCTGGGAGTGAGTCGTTGTACATGTGTGTGCAGGTCCCCTTGGTCATAGCAGAGCCTCCCATTGCCTACCCAGGGAGACTGCCCTTCTTCTGTGTCAATGACCCCTGGACAGTGAGGCTCCACACCCTTCAGTTTTGCTAGGTCAGCAAGCACTATCCCCATCCAGTGGTGTCTAAGGGTAGGCTTAGACTAAAGAAGGTGCCACGCTTGACACTTCCAGGCTGGGGCATGCTGGGAGGCCTCGAGATTGTGGCTGGAGAAAGGGAGTGTTTCCTCAACACCCTCTAAAGACGTGTCCCAGACCGACCTGCCACCCCTCCTCGTCTCCTCACGTTCAATCCCTGTGGTGCACGTGGCAGGGAAAAGGGGTTTCCTCCAAACAATTTCCCACGGCCACCCCCATTCAGTGGTTCATTCTGTTGTCTCCCCATCACTACCATGTCTCGTTTATCCATCTGAATGTCTGTGTCCCACTAAACTCCCAATCAGGCATCTTGTCTTATTCCTCTATTTTCCTACACTCAGCACAGTTTCCAGCGCATTCCAGGCCCTCCATA